CGATGACGGGGACGAAAACGAGGCCGAGGACAGGGCCGATCCCTGGAACAGAGACAGAGGGGCGTCAAGGGGACGGACGCAGGCAGGACACCGGCATCGCGGTGCCGCCTTCCCGCTCGCGCGGGGGAACGAGCTGCCTACCCAGCACCATGGTCATGAACTTCTCCTCCACTCCCGCTTCCAGCAGCAGCGGCGGCACGTAGGTGATCCCGGCGGCCAGGCACACCTCGAGGCCGAACGTCAGCGAGTTGACGAGCAGCAGCTGGGCCCGGCGGTGCTGGAGGAGCGCGCGGAGCCGGGCCCGCTGCGCCATTGAGACGTGGCCCGAGTGGCGGCGCGGCCCCGGCCGTTCAGATGCTGCAAGGAGAGCGAGCTCGTTAGAAACAGCATGTTCCAGTGCACAGAAGGGGACCCAAACCAGCCCCAAACAGGGATCGCCAGGCCCAAAAGACACGGGCCGGCTCCCAACAGGCTCAACAGCTGCGGACACCAGAGGCGGAGGAGAGGGCACCTCGGAGAGCCCTGGGATTAAAAGGCACTGGCTCCGTTTGTGCTGTTTTTTCCTCCGGGGGCTTGTGACAGGTGAGACAGACACCTGCCAGAAACGGTTTGGGAAAATCCAATCCTGCCCTGGGGCAAAGGGAGGTCTAATGACCTCCAAACCCCATCCAGCCCCGTCCTGCAGATGGGCAGCGGAGCAGAGACAAAGGTCGGACCTGCAGAAAGGATCCGGGCTCCGTCTCCCGGTGAAATCAATTAGATCCCGCCAAGGAGGGAGGCTGCAGCCTGTGCTCGCATGGGGAGCCTCCGGAGACCCGCGTTGCTGCCTGAATCCCAGCCCAGCTTCCCGGGAAGCCGTTTCACCCAACCCGTCCCCAGCCCTCGAGATGGGGCGCAGGGAACAGATGGTGCCTCCGTGGAGTTTCACAAACAAACCTGACCCAGTTTAGCCTCCTCTAACAGCGAACGGCAATTACCTTGCTCATTAGTCTGAGTCATTTATTTGCCCTGTAAGGTGCTCCCTCTCTCCAACCTCCTTCAGCAGGGAGAGGCCACCAAATCAAGACAGGGTCTAAGCAACTAAGGTAAAAGTAAGCAAATGCCTCTTAGCAACCTGCTATGAACCTGCTGTTTGGAGTCTGCAGAATAAGGAAATCCTGCAAGGTAAACTGCACCTAATCTGGTCAACCAAACTGCTGTTCTGCCAAAAACAGCTTGTGAACGTGGTCTCTGCTCAGGCTGGGAAAGGAAGAACGGGCTAGGAAGAAAGGTGACATTAACAGACACAGTTAAAGGAGAAAAATAGTCAGAGTGCAGCCTAATTGTCAGGGATTCACATGTTTTAACCTCAAAGGAGGCAGCGCTGGGGCCGTGCGCTGGGCACGGCTCTGTGTGCAGCTCTGGCCCTGCTGCATGGAGGGGCTGAGCAGGGTGCAGGACACGCGGGGTGTCCCTGCCCTTGGGGGAGCTGTCACTGTCACTGTCACCTCCCGCATGTCCCCCCCGCGCCGGGGCAGCTAACGGGACACGGCTCTTGCTCAGCAGTGATCCCGGCGGGAGCAGGGAGGTGAAAATCCAGTTTTGCAGCCCTGCCCCCCTGCAAATTCTTTGTGTCCATGACAGGGGAAAGGGAAAGGCTCCCCAGGGAGCATCCGCGGGCAGGTGGGCGCTCGGGGTCCCTCCTGGCCTCCCGCATCCCTCCCGCTGCCGGCGTTACGGAGCCCCCCGCACGGGCTGGGACCCCGCACGCTCACCGCACAGCTCAGCGTTCTCCAACGCTGCACCAGGGTTACACAAGGTTTCTGAATGCTCCTCTGCCCCTTCCTTCTCCTCTTCCCATCAGCCAAAGGCCTCACATAGAGACAGATCCCTGCGGGAAGCTGGAAGGGGATGAGGAGAGGTTTGCAAAGACACCAGCATCCTTCCAGCATCCTTCTCTATCTCTCAGTGCTGTGGAAGAGACCCGCTCGGAAGCTGCGGAGCTGATGAGCTGCCAATTACACACAATAAACGCTGATTACTTTCCTAAGGGAGTTATCAACCTTCCTCCCTCCACGCTCTCCTAGACCTTGACTGTCGCAAGGGAGATCTTTTAACAGCGATCATTGGGATAACTTGCCCAAGGTCAAGCAGCAGAGGGGGGATGGCAGCAGCCTCCCTTTAATCACTAGAGTCACCTCAAAGGAGCACTCGGAGGCCCCGGATTTGCTCCAGACACTCTCTATCCGCAAGGAAGCGGCTGGGGGCAGCAACCACCTTTCCCAGGTGTGGGCCAGACGCCCGATATCTCGGCCTTGTCCCTTTACGAGGGTGCCCATCTGGCTGAGAGCGCGGGGAGAGGAGCTGAACCCAGCGCCCGGCTCGGCAGCGCAAACCCGGGGCTGCTGTGCAGAGAGAGCCAGCTCCCGAGCCCGGAGCCACGGAGACGCGACGCTCCCTGCCTGCGTGTTGTCCCAACACCCGTTAAATGTCTGTTTTAACCACAAAACACGGTGGCTCAGCTGTAAAGAAAAGCCAGCGCAGAGTAAGAAAAGCACCAGAGCAGCAGCATTAGCCGCCAGGACGGGGCAGAGAAGGAAGCTCCGGAGGCTCCCGGGAGCCACAGGACTCACCTTCTCCAGGCGATCCCGCTCCCTCCGCTGCTTCCGAGAGCCCGGCCGGGAAGGGCTGCTTAAGTAGCCGGCAGGGAGAGGAGGACCCAGCGGCAGGTTCCCGCGCGCGGCTTTGGTTTCAGGGCCCTCCCTGCCTCCCGCGCGGCCCGGCCGAGGACACGGCCCCGGGGCTGTGTCACCTGCCCAGGACAGCTCAGGAGGAAGCTGCAGCAGCCGCGTTTCCACCCGGACTTTGCCCCGAGCCCTGCCTTAGTGTCAACACTTGTCACCCCCCTTGCTGGCCTGCTGGCACATTGCAAAGGGCTCTTCCATGCGGAGCGCTGAGCGGGACAGGGACTCCCCACGCAGGGATCCTGCCCCACGGCAGAGGCGCCCAGGGCTGCTCTTTGGCACCGAGGGGTCTGTGTCCGAACCGCGAGCACAGAGCAGCAGCGCGTGGGGTCAGACCAGGCGCTCCCCTCCGCTCTGCAGGCGTTAGGCTGGGCCTAAACAACAGACCCAACACTTCTTTTAAGCTGATCTCTTCCAGAATGATTTATCCATCGGGCTACATGGGAGGACTGGTCTGAGTCTGGTGCTCTATCTCTGTCCTGCCGTGGAGCACTCAGGAAAAGCATTTCCCACCAGGAGATGCGGGTGTAACTGCTGCATTTACAGGCCCATGAGATCCCATGGGAGCAGGTCACAGCCTGTGCATCCCCCATGAGATCCCACGGGAGCAGCTCACAGCCTGTGCATCCCCCATGAGGTCCCATGGGAGCAGGTCACAGCCTGTGCATCCCCGTGGGATCTGGGAAGACCCTTCACAGTCCGGCAGAGCGAGCAGGTTAGAAGAGCTCGATGACAAGTCGCTTGGCCCGATGCCCCATTTTCCCCCAAAAGCAGGGACACGGGTGTCCCTCTCCAAGCACCGACACAGCAGAGCTCCCCGCGCACAGAAGGGACCCGCGCGCGGGGCGTTTGCGCAGCCGTTCAAGGAGCTCTCGAGCGGCTGCTGCGCGTCCCGCTCTCACCCAGCTCCTCCTCTCCTTCCCCATGAAGGTCGGAGCATCTTTAACCCCCGCGTTTCTCTCTAGTTTCCCAGCGCGGCAGCCTAGTTGGAAGCGGCTTTTCCTTCCTCAGCAGAGAAACAGCAAATCAATGCGGAGAGGCTGGGTCACCCAGAGCAGGTAGGAGGGCGGCGCTGGGGACGCAGAGCGGCCCCGTCCGCACGGAGCCTCCGCACGGAGACCCCC